ATATGCGTTGAGTCTCAGTTCCTATGAAAAGAGTTTAAGTAAAGTAGTCTGGAATAACTGCCGCTGTTACTGTAGTCCTTAAGAGACTAGCAAGACCAGGTTCTCCTGGTCTCCAAAGAGCATTTGTTGCGTGTTGATTTACACTCAGGCTTTTGAAACTGTGTTTGCTACTTGGAATGAAAATTTCTGTTTTTACCTAGCACCTTCCATTAAGCCATTCTTCATAATCTCTAGTTTCCTGGAGGGGAAACATATTCAATGCAGTATTCAAACAAATAGGGGGGATAAAAAGAAAAAACAAAACTTGCTCTCAGTATTTGAAATTCATCTTGTAAAGCACAGTTTTTTTACCCTGACATTTAGAGACTCATAAATGGAAATAGAAAATGGCTAATGATTTTGAAACACAGGTTGGTTTATAATCTTCTAGAAACCTGACCACCCTCAGTGAGAGGCAGACAAAGAGTTGGAGGATAGTTTTGTTTCTCCTCTGGGTTAGCCGGCTCTCCTTGTGATCCAAATTACAGCTCTGATTTCATTTTTTTCATCTTCTGTGTTCATGCAGAACTTCTTTGATCACTTCACTGGTTGTCATCTTCTTATCCTATAGATTTTCTGTAGATTTTATTTACCCTGCAGCATTTTTTCCTATACCCCAAGGGCTGGATTTATTTCCCACAACAACCTTTATAGACCTCAAGGTTAGATAGAGCTCATTACAAAGTATCTTAATTCCCTCTAACTCAGTTTCTCTTCCTTTCCTAAACTTTAAGCTTCATGAAGTCAAAAGAAGCCAGTTGCCATTGAAGAGATTCTGACTCCTGGTAACCCTGTGTGTTGCAGAATAGTACTGTGCCCAGTAGAATTTCCAATGGCTGTGACCTTTTGGGGAGCCCTGGTGGCACAGTGGCTAAGAGTCTGGCTGCTAACCAAAAAGGTCAACAGTTCGAATTCACCAGTTGCTCCTTGGAAATCCTATGGAGCAGTTCTACTCTGTCTTATAGGGTTGCTATGAGTCGGAATCGACTCAACAGCAATGGGCTTGTTTTTTTTTTTTGGTTTGTTAGTTTTTATTTTTGATGACCTTTAGGAAGCAGATCCCCAGGCCTTTTTTCCAGCGCATCTCTGAGTAGGTTTGAACTACTGACCTTTCAGTTAGTAGCCAAGCGCTTAACTGTTAGTGCCACCTGAGGACTCCTGTCCTCATTCTAGTGCCCAATAAATGTGGGTTGAATAAATTACTGTGAAAAAAATGTTGCACTCGCATGCTTATTCCGTGTCCATGGCAAGAACATTTTTAGGTTATGTGCATTAGAGACTTACCATCAATTACCTTCAGAAAATTGAACAGTAATGCCAGCCTTCTGAGTACTTGTGAAATCGTCAGTTGTTCCTAACTAGGGGAAGTGTTGCCCCCCTGGGGATATGTGGTGATGTCTGGAGACATTTTTGGACGCATATAATATCCTCCCACAATAAAGAATTACCTGGCTCAAAATATCAATAGTGCCAAGGTTGAGAAATCCTGGTAGAGAAGAAAGTACGTATGTAGAAATGGGCACTTCAGATGTGATTTTATTTTGCTCTACAGATACGAGATCACCTCTGGATATCATTAATAGTAGCAATAATAGAGAATAATAGTTTATTTTTATTACAGTCTTAACATGTTCAGACACCATATTAGAACCTTTTCACATATGTTATTTAATCCTCTTAATCGTGCTGTGAGTACGAACAATTATTATAGTCCTTTTTCAGATAATGGACTATAATAATTGTTAGAAGGTTAAGTAGTTTACCTAAGTGTCAGAGGTGGGATGAGAACTCAGGACCTGTGCTGTCTACCATTATACTGTACTTTCTGCCCTAGGAACCACAACTGAGAACGTAGAGGAAAATTCGGCCCACCTAAATTAAAAAAAAAAAAAAAAAGTCATTTAGGCCTAGGTGTTTGTAATGTTACAGTTGCACTAATTTGAACAAAGATACAGTATATTGGCTGACACGTGTAGGCTGCTGTTGATCGGAGGATCAGAACAAATCTGCTATACACTGTTATTCTGTGGGATTCTCAAGAAACACGAAGAAAGTTCCGAGAGCTTGTCTTCATTCACAATTGAACTTGTCAGAGCCGATCAACACATTGTGATCTAGATGGGCCATTTCCCCTGTTAAGGTGGATAAACAGTGACAGTTCTCCCTATGTAATCCCATTAGGGTCTTTCTGCAGGACCACATTATCTTACATAATTATAAAAGAACCACTCTTGAGTAAAACATGCCTGCAAGAGAGCAAGGCCTGGGGCAAAGGGATGGCTGATGGAGCTTTTTCTCTGCTTGCGGAGGACACGGATCAGATCAGATCGGCAAGTGAAAAATTTACAATTCAGATGCATAATAGTAGTCCTTAGCTCCATTCCTCAGTTCTCTGTTAACGCTCAAACTGTGACTGCCTGGTGAACTTTCTAAGTAAATTCAGCCATCTTCAAGTATTGATTTATTGTTTCTTAGGCCCTAAAAACTTGACTTGAAAGCTCAGTTATGAAGAACCTATTCTCTTGAACAAAAGAAATTTGGAGATCCTTGAGCAGCCATTTTCCCCCCCTTGGGAAATTCTGCTTACTGCCTTGTGCTACCATCAGACTTCGTAAATTCCTATTTAGTTTACAAAAACTTGTTAGTTTTTATTCTTTTAGTCCCTCATTCCTATCCCTTCTAAAGAGCAAATACTAATAGTACCAGTTTTTTGTCCTTCAAAAAAAAAATTGCCATCTAGTTAATTCCCACTCATGGTGACACCAGGTGTTACAGAGCAGAACTGTGAGTTTTCTTGGCTGCAGTCTTTACAGAAGCAGATCACCAGACCTTTCTTTTGTGGCACCTCTACCAAAAAACCAAACCCATTGCCATTGAGTCGATTCTGACTCGTAGCAACCATATAAGACAGAGTAGAACTGCTCCCTAGAATTTCTGAGGAGTGGTTGGTGGATTCCAACTGCCGACCTTCTGGTTAGCAGCCAAGCTCTTAACCACTGCACCACCAGGTCTCCTCTACATGGGTTTAAACCACCAACTTTTAGGTTAGTAGTCAAGTGCTAACTGTTCTCGCCACCTAGGGACCTTTCTTAAATAAATACTGTATTAACAATAGTGCTTTAGGTTTCTCTAACTACAAATAACTCTTTAAGTTCCTACTAGATGTTAGTGCTTATTATTCAGACAAACCTTTTCAAGGGTCCATTGAAGCTAAGTGACATATCTAATCCTTGTACTACACCACCTATAAGGTATCATTTAAAATGATCTCCTGGGCATAAAAGAGACCAGTATGCCTACACACTTATTTAATCTTTTCAAAAGAGTCACTTGACATTCTTTGCATTTATTTTACATTTAATAAATGAAAGCAGTTGAGTGATGGAATGAGAAGTGCTTCTGAATGTGTTTCTAACACGTTCTTGGGTCAGGCTGATGCTGCTGGGCCAAGGACAACACTTGAGCGCAAGGAATGAGGACCATTGAGATGGCTTGAAAACTGAGCTAAGGATGGCGTTAAACCAGTGGCATTTAACTCCTTTATCCTGTACTAACTTTGATTGCATTATGAACTATTTTCTAAGCACATAGGTTTCTTCTGGAAAGGACGGGTCCTGTTCAGTGGCAAAACACATGTTTGTAAGGTTTTTATTTTTAAATTACATAATATTTTATTCTTAATAGTCACATGCATCTGTTCTTTGCCTGAAAGATGATTTTTTTTAGGTTTCTAAACAGTAAAAATGAATTCTACCATTTCTAATAGTCGTTGGTATTTTTAGATGGTTTACAGTCTTTTAAATTGTAGAACAAATTTCCAGTGTCCTTGACACTTAAATATTATTCACAGTTTTTTTTTTTTAATTATATTTCTAAAGATAGCTAAGGGAACAATTTCAAATAGTTCCTCTGTGTCTTTAGATATAAATTATTTCAATTTCTGGGTATTGGTGAGAATTAAGAGACTTGCAGCTTGCCGTGTCCTGTCATGCCAGCTTTATTTTGTAAGGAAATCCAATCTTGCACCTTTCAATTAGCTTCTTTACCTTTCTAATAAAAAAACAGATGGAACAAGTTCTGGAGCAAGAAGGCATTGTTTCAATCTGTGGATTGCCTTTACTTCGCCAACTGTGTCTTCTGTCATTTCATAATATACTGAAAAGTCCTTCCATAAAAGAAGAAAAACTCTCACAGATGGAGGAAGGTAGTGTTGTTGCAAAAGAATTTATTCTCAATCATGATCTTGGCAACTCTTAAAGGAATCACAGTGGTGTATCTTATCCCACCTGGAACTCCCGAAAGAGGGGAGAAGTGGAAATGTGTCATAGGCTGGAGTGTGGTCACTCTACTTGGTAGCTCACATGTAAGCTATTTTGAAGGAAGAAAAGGAGGAGGTGAGGGAAGAGGTGGAGAGAAAGAAAAGAGAGATCTGTGCTCTGCCTTCACACAGGCTTACATGCATTACATTAAAATGGCCTTTGATCAGTGCCCCATCAAAAGGGTGCATCTTTTAAATGACTTTATGGAGCCCCATTTTGCATTTGTTTATGTATAGCTATAAAGTTTTTCACATTTTTTCCCCTTAAATTTTATTAGTTGTTCAGTTTCCATCGCCATCTTGAAATCTGACAGTGACCAATAGGATTTATAAGTGATCATCATTATTTGATTCAGTGGACGTTGGATATGCAAATAGATATTTTAGGTACTGACAGTATGTTCATTGATAGCCCAGAGGTGACTGTATGGTTTTGTTTTGAAGATAAGATACTTTGATCGTTCATTTCTTGAATACTTTTTCTGGTAAATTACTGTTATTTAAAATGCCATTTACCACCGACCCCTGACGCTAGCCATTTAGTCAAAAACCTTCACAATGTTTTTGAAAATGTTATAATCATGTCAGCACTTCTTCCATTATTATACTTAACAACTCTTTTCTCTTTTCTTTCTTACAGCAGATTGCAGATTGAGCTTAACCAAGAAGTTTATAGGCTGATCAAAACTGACCTGACCTGCAAGAGAAGAAGGGAGTTCTGCCTGTGCACTCAAGCTCCTGTTGACCACTGATAACTTGGCATCACTTGTTGCCTGTGTGGAAAATTCTCTCTACTGAAATTTTTTGCACATGGAAGGCAACAGCAAAGAGGGCAACACAGGCTGATAAGACCAGAGACAGCAGGAGGATTACCATACGCCTTCAGGACTTTTCTTCTAGCTGGAGCTCTGGACTTAAACAGAACCTAGTCCATTCATTTTGATTTTTCTGTTTATTTTTTTATTTTTATTTTTTCCTCACCACATTGTATTTTATTTCTTTACTTCAGAAATGGGCCTACAGACCACAAAGTGGCCCAGCCCTGGGGCTTTTTTCCTGAAATCTTGGCTTCTCATTTCCCTGGGACTCTACTCACAGGTGTCAAAAACCCTGGCGTGCCCTAGCGTGTGCCGCTGTGACAGGAACTTTGTGTACTGTAATGAGCGAAGCTTGACCTCAGTGCCTCTTGGGATCCCGGAGGGCGTAACCGTACTCTACCTCCACAACAACCAAATTAATAATGCTGGATTTCCTGCAGAACTGCACAACGTACAGTCTGTGCACACCGTCTACCTTTACGGCAACCAACTGGATGAATTCCCCATGAACCTTCCCAAGAATGTCAGAGTACTCCATCTGCAGGAAAACAACATTCAGACCATTTCACGGGCTGCTCTTGCCCAGCTCTTGAAGCTAGAAGAGCTACACCTGGATGACAACTCTATATCCACAGTGGGGGTGGAAGATGGCGCCTTCCGGGAGGCTGTTAGTCTGAAGTTGTTGTTTCTGTCCAAGAATCATTTGAGCAGTGTGCCTGTTGGCCTTCCTGTGGACTTGCAAGAGCTGAGAGTGGATGAAAATCGAATTGCTGTCATATCAGACATGGCCTTTCAGAACCTCACAAGTTTGGAGCGTCTGATTGTAGACGGGAATCTCCTGACCAACAAAGGCATTGCCGAGGGCACCTTCAGCCATCTCACCAAGCTCAAGGAGTTTTCAATCGTACGGAATTCACTCTCTCGCCCTCCTCCTGATCTCCCAGGTACGCACCTGATCAGGCTGTATTTGCAGGACAACCAGATAAACCACATCCCACTGACAGCCTTCTCAAATCTCCGCAAGCTGGAATGGCTGGATATATCCAACAACCAACTGCGAATGTTGACTCAAGGGGTTTTTGATAACCTCTCTAACCTGAAGCAGCTCACTGCTCGGAATAACCCTTGGTTTTGTGACTGCAGTATTAAGTGGGTCACGGAATGGCTCAAATACATCCCTTCATCTCTCAATGTTCGGGGTTTTATGTGCCAAGGTCCTGAGCAAGTCCGGGGGATGGCTGTCAGGGAGTTGAATATGAATCTTTTGTCATGTCCCACCACTACCCCTGGACTGCCTCTCTTCACCCCAGCCCCAAGTACAGTGTCTCCAACCACTCAGCTTCCCACACTCTCTGTTGCAACACCTAGCAAAACCGATACACCTCTGACTCCTACCACATCAAAACTTCCCACAATACCTGACTGGGATGGCAGAGAGAGAGTGACCCCACCAATTTCTGAACGGATCCAGCTCTCCATCCATTTTGTGAATGATACTTCCATTCAAGTCAGCTGGCTCTCTCTCTTTACTGTGATGGCATACAAACTCACTTGGGTGAAAATGGGCCACAGTTTAGTAGGAGGCATTGTTCAGGAACGCATAGTCAGTGGTGAGAAGCAACATCTGAGTCTGGTTAATTTAGAGCCCAAATCCACCTATCGGATTTGCTTAGTGCCACTGGATGCTTTTAACTACCGAGCTGCAGAAGATACCATTTGTTCTGAGGCCACCACCCACGCCTCCTATTTGAACAATGGCAGCAACACTGCTTCCAGCCATGAGCAAGCAACTTCCCACAGCATGGGCTCCCCTTTTCTGCTGGCGGGCTTGATTGGGGGCGCCGTCATATTTGTGCTTGTGGTCTTGCTCAGCATCTTTTGCTGGCACATGCACAAAAAGGGGCGCTACACCTCCCAGAAGTGGAAATACAACCGGGGCCGGCGGAAAGATGACTATTGCGAGGCAGGCACCAAGAAAGACAACTCCATCCTAGAGATGACAGAAACCAGTTTTCAGATCGTCTCCTTAAATAACGATCAGCTCCTTAAAGGAGATTTCAGACTGCAGCCCATTTACACCCCAAACGGGGGCATTAATTACACAGACTGCCATATCCCCAACAACATGCGATACTGCAACAGCAGTGTGCCAGATCTGGAACACTGCCACACGTGACAGGCAGAGGTTCAGCGTTCCCAAGGCGGACAGAAAAACTCTTGAGAACACACACGTGTGTGCACAGAAAGACACGCAAATTACATTTGATAAATGTTACACAGATGCATTTGTGCATTTGAATACTCTGTAATTTATATGGTGTACTATATAATGGGATTTAAAAAAAGTGCTATCTTTTCTATTTCAAGTTAATTACAGTTTTGTAACTCTTTGCTTTTTAAATCTTAAAAAAAAAAAAAATACTTGCTGAAGTACTGTACAGGGTTGTACAATGAGAACCCAACGCCAAGGCAAAAGAACGAGTGATTCTTCCTTACGATGCACATTAACTACTTTGCTGTCGAAGCTGTCAGAATAAATTCCTTTCCTAGAGCCAGTGGACAGATGAAAGGGCCAATTAAAATGGACTCATCAGGGCAGGATAAGTAACATGCATAAAACAAGAAATGGCCCAGATATTGTCATGCTATTTCTATACTTCTTGGTCTGGAAGAGAAGTAATAAATTCCAGAATATAAGAAAGGTGGTTATTACCCTTATTTGACCCAGTGCAAGAAATAAAGAAAGCATCACGAGGAAGCCAGTTCCGTGAAAGAAGTTAACCCAACCTGGCAGATTCAAGAAAATGAGATGAGATTTTAAAAAGACTTTAAACCCTGCAGGTTGGCTTTGTGACTGGGAACTTAAAAATCACTCTTCATGCTTCCTGGCCCTATGTGATAACAGAGTTAGGGACCTGAGTCTGATTTCAGTTGTCTGCAGGGACAGGTAGGATGTTCTAGCAAGAAAACTCCCTTTAAAAGTGTTACCATTCAAATCATGTGTCAGGTTGAATCAAATTCAACAGAGATATATTCTAGAATACTTTTTTTAGAAGAGGCTAATAAAATAATGGGAAGAATTATATTGAATGGAATTATTTTTGATAATGAGAATTATTTGGGTAGATTCACCAAGGCTATGTCAACATGATATATAGATTTAACAAGTGATCAGTGTTTGGAATTTACTAAAACAACTGGTTATTTAAACATCATTGATATCATTTAGACAAGAACAACTGAATGGTACTGTTATACTAGATCAGCTGATTTTTGTTGGTATCATGTTGAAATAGCTCGAATTAATACATTTTCCCTTGGCAAATTGTTGTCTTCCAATCATCGAGCGCTTTTTCTTTTTCCATAATTAGTTGTTTATGCTATATTTGTCCCCCCTCCCCCCCAAATATTTCCAAGAAAATTAAGAATGCCAGTCTTGGTTACACAAGATATCCATATGCACTTACACATTTTAAAATGCATACTAGTTTTCATTACTAATGCTTCTATAAGGACACATCAAAGCTGGCCAATTTTTTTTTTTTTTTTTTTTTTAAAGCAATACCTGGTTTTCCACCTTGGACTGACTTTGATCCAGTTCCACTTTTGAAATTTCATTTATTCTTTTTCAGTCTTGAATGTCCCTCTTTGGGAATTGTGGAGGGATAATCAATCTTATATTAACAGGGCAACAAATGAAAAACGAACAAGCCAGATACGACGGCTGGTTTCCCTAATCTTGGCAGAGCCAGGCATAGAGCAGAGGGTATAAGAAGAGAAGAATGCTCATTTTGTGCTTAATTCTAGATATTTCTGAAGCAATGTCCTTGTTGAGAAGGCATGTATAATTTACTCCTTTTCCTCCCTTAGATGTAGAAGGGCTATAGATCACATACATTATCTAAAAGATGCATCCTTGCAAAAAAATTTTTTTAATCAGATTTAGGCATTGCTTTCTGTACTGCTTATTACCTTTTCCTCTGACCATTATTTTAAGAATCCACAAAGGAGATGTCACAAACTTCTTGCTTTCTATCTTTTTTTTTTTTTTTTAACTAAATAAAACTGTGACGTGTCTTCTTTGTAAAAGTTTAGGTATAAAATGCTATGCAAGTTTTTCTTTATAGTAAGAGCTTTATTTTCTTTAATAATGCTCCCCAACTTATATGTGTTAACCCCCTTGTCGTCTCAAAATAGGTAGAAAATATAATGAAGCTATATTGTTGTAGACACAAGAATTGAAACTGCGCAGTCATTGGGGCTGAAATTTGCTATCAATTAATTTGAATTAATTCTAAAATGACTCCTGTTTCTGTTTCAGTCTCTTGGACGGTTTGGCTGTTGCTTATTTAGGTCCACAGAGTGAAAGGATGAGACAGTCTGGGCGGGTGATCAGTGTAGCAGGAAGTGATCTAAATTCAGGACAATGCCATAAGCTCTTGTGTACTTAGCTTGGCAATTCTTTCCAAGTCCTCTTCCCCTTGGCTGCGTAGATAAAACTATGAGTTCAAATGATGGTACTTTGACTTTGGAGTTTTGTTTTTTTTTTCCTGCTACCCACAAAATAATAATTTTCATTTATTTGCATTGCATGTTCCCTCAAGTGGGATTTTTGGCTGCTAAAATGTTTTTGCTTTGGGCCAAGAAGACCCAGGTTGGAGAGTTTCCTTTAGTGTCTTCTTGTGGGGTCCACAAAATTGGTTGGGGCATTAGTGGTGCAATGGAGACCTAGTCAAGTGAATGGTAAGCATGGTCAGAAAGCATTCCTCTGTTTGAAGGTGTCCCTGAAGAGATCCACTCTAGTTACAGGCTTTATTTTGAACTGGTGCACAGCACCACAAAGACTCTGCTAAAATTAACACCAGTCTCCTGTTGGTGATAGCATACCTGGAGAGAAAGCACATTATGGAATTTGCAGTGTGTTCTGTGTCTTACGAAGACTGCTGAACAACCATCAGTGGTAAATTATGCTTTATTGGTATTTTTAGTCATGGTAATGGATTTAGCTGATACGCTGTATTTAGGCCTCCCTTGCTGTCATTATTATGCATCTTGAGATGACCAGTCAAGAGACAAAGTTGAAATGCAGGGTGGAACTATGAAATGAAGCCGTAAACGCTGGCTTATAAACAGCTTCATTCTATCTGACCAAACGATGTGATTTCAGACCGTATGCATCCGCATTCAGAGCTAGATAATTCACTGCACAGAGGAAATTTCAAAAGGAAATACATTAATGACAGTTGCTATTCATACCCAAACCAAAAAAGAACTAAACCTGTGGCCGTCAAGTCGATTTCGACTCATAATGACCCTATAGGACAGAGTAGAACTGTCCCATAGGGTTTCCAAGGAGCGGCTGGTGGATTTGGACTGCTGACCTTTTTTGGTTCGTAGCAGAGCTCTTAACCACTGTGCCACCAGAGTCCCATTCATACCTAGAGTTGTTCTTAATACCCACTTGTTTGGGGAGATGTGTTTGGTCATGGGGAGACCTGGACTTCCTTTAAACACTATGGAATGCGTTAGTAGCCCATTGCATAGGACAATCACAGGCAGAGACAAGGGGTGTGTTTCCTTGTCTGTTTACCTTGTGTTTCTGATGGTGACACTACTTGTGTTTCTGATGATGGCACCACATTCTCCCTTGTGAGAAAAAAGGCAACTTCTAATTATCTGAATGTTAGTTGAATTTTTTTTTTTTTTTTTAAAGTGTAATGTGACCAGTCTGGTAAGAAGTATTAATGAAGTAGCTAATACTACAGCTCCATTTCCTTCTAGTGCAGATCATAATGATCTTAGTCATGTCACAGGAGTCAGAACTTCCTTCCCCACTGGGGGAGACACTCTTCCCTTTTGAGCAAAGCATCCATTCAAACCACCAGGCAAGATTGTTGCACTCCACAGGGAGCCATTGATGTACTTGATCAACCTCAGCCACGTGTCCAGCGCAGCTTTAGACAGTGAAGTGGTTAATTTCCATTGACTTCTTTGTTTATAGCATTTCTTTTCTCTAACTTATAACAAAAAAGTCTTTAAAGTTTTACTTTAGGATATGAGAATAACAGATTTATTCATGACTTGTATTTCCAGCTGCATGGGAAGGCAAAGCAGAAATAAATGCCCAGAAGGGGGAAGAAATACACAAACAAAAAAAACTCCTAAGTCTCGGCAAGCCTTGCCTGATACTCTCCTTTAAGTCAAAGCACTAAGGATAGGAGGCTGCAGCTTACATCCTTCCCAGATTTCTTCAGCAGACCTGAAAGATCATATTGCTGGCAGTGGGAGATACTTGTCACGGTTGTGAGGAGAAAATTTGTACACACATGAGACTGTGGTTATAAAAGATCAGATCTTTTGCTGTTTTTTTTTTTTTTTTTTCTTTTTCTTTTCCTAGCAGCACATCCACCAGAAGAGCACAAAGCAAGGCATTTTTAAAACTAGTATAACACACACGCACACAACACGCACACAGGGACATTTGTAGATGTGTCCATGAGATGGAAGATAATCATTGTGAGGACAGATGAAGGTGCCACCACCGTGTGTCCCTAACAGGATTGGTGTATATTCTCTGGAAGTTAAACCTGATGATCTGTTATTGTTTGAACCATATGTTGATCTGCTTCTGATTTATGCTTAGTGAATTCTCACTGACAAGGGGCTGGAAGATTCTGCACTACACGTCCTCTGAGACCTACTGTGTCGCACACTTTGTTAACCAGAAACTTCACTGCACTATACAGTACCTTGTTGATATATTCAGTAAAAGCTTATTTTAAAAGAAAACCACATTGTGTTTACCTGAGTAAGTTCATTGGGAGACAACCAACGCTTGCGTTTTTAACACGAAAGTGAAATGAGGGATGCTTCTAGATGATTCGGGAATGAAGGTGGGAGTAGAATTTTCATTTTATTTACTATGAAGTCAACAGTTTTTTAAGTCCATTTGATCCTTTTTTTGTATGGAGTTTATGTACAGCTGTCGTTTTTCTTTTTTCCATTTCCTAACGAAATTGGGTGTTCTTCTGAATGTCTTTTAAACATACACACATACACAAAGCATATTTTTGTGTTTATGAAATCTATGTTGTTTATGATATAGACAAATACCATTGTAGTTATCCAATCAGAATAGTCTTTTTTTTTACCCCATTTAATAATTGCACTGTTGGTTTTAAATATCAATTTTCCTTAAGAATTCTCCTGGTACTTTTCTACTTCAGAATTGTTTATAGCTAATTCACTTACACTTTCAATGGGCACCAGTATCTACTCATAAGCATGTATCTCTTCATAAGCTCCAGTTTGAATTTGTCTCACATGATTTTCCAGGACCCCTTTCCTTAACCACTCTTGGCTACTTCACGAATAATAGTATATTTGACAGAGATTGAATCAGAAAATAAAATCATGGCATTTCAATGACCTAGTATTAATTAGTCTTTGGAATCTCTTTTAGAAAATTAACCATGAAGGTTATGGAAACTAGGGATTCATATGACATTTGGGGATTTTATGTAAAATAACATCTATCCTAGTCTTGGTTACTGTTGCCAAGATTTACAGACCTTACTCTATGGTCCAGACCCTCATGTATTCAAAAGAATTTGTGAAGCTCCTCCTGCTATATTCCAGGCACTGGGCTAAGTTCAGCAGTCTCACAGAAGAATAAAATGCAGATTTAGACAATTCAAGCTTATCTTCTACTCCACTAATTCCTAAGGAAATGTTTGTTCAGCCAGTGTATTTACTCCTCGTCTACTTTCTTCAGAGCACTATGTTCGGTTCTACTGGGGAATCAGAAAAATATGACTCTGCCCTTAAAGAGCT